CTCGCTATCGCTATGGACAGATGGGAATTACTAATCTAAGGTGATGTGTGTGTGCGTGCGTGTGTGTGTGCATGCGTGTGTGTGTGTGTGTGTGTATGAGGGAGCAATGTTAGCGCCACCAGATCCACGACAGCCGTGAGTATTAACTGACAATAACTTCATCATTATTACAAAACACTGATTCAAAAAATATTATTTCTTTTTTAATATTTATAATAAATGCAAATGAATACCTGGAATTTAATAAAATAATAAGACCGGGCTCAATGAACTTTGATTACTGTCAGCTCTCATAATTCATACATTTCGGTTTTAGACCCTGCAGATGATTGCATCTGTAGGAAAAGAAACTTATTAGAGTCAATTATCAATACACTAGGGATGCTGGAAGTGGGTCAGCGTTGGAGAGGGGGGGTGCAGAGAGAAAATCTCCCTGTATAATGACGTAACACTAAATGCTAAATGCATGAGATTCATGGTTTTAGAATTAATTTGAATGGCAAGGAGAATTTATAGCCTATTTAATAGTTATTCACAACGTTTTACACACATTTTATAAGATTTTAGCTGATAAAAACAAGGCAAAACCTCTTTTCTTGCCATAAATACCAGGGTACATATTAAAATCCCAGTAAAAAAGTAGCAAGTCATGTGTTTAAACCCCAGCACCCCTACTTCCAACGCCTGGAACCAAAGTGCCTAAACTTAGAACATTACTAATACTTTTATTCTTTGTGAGTCTTACATTCATATTGTCATATTTTTGCATTTTATTCTAAACTTTGCTTGTTACTATAATGTTTCACGATTGCTAGATTTCTAGATTTTAAATGAAAGGTGTTTCAGAACGTAAATAATATAAAACGTTTGATGGGCCGAGTAGAAGAAATGAATGAAATCCAGCAGGCGGGCTTCAGTGTGAGGGACACCAGGAGTCCCTTGCGTGCCACAATGTGTCAACACTTAAACAAGATAAAGATTAATATGATAAGAACTGTGAGATTAAAATGAAAGGTGAGATTAGGAGGCATGCAAGAATGGACAGAGGAGGGAGAGGTGGGGTCGTACTGACGCACTGAGGGATCAACAACTGTGTCCATATAGTGCCGGGCTGCAGCAGCTACTGAAGGAGTGCTCACGGTAAATGTGAAAGAATAATGTCATGATAGTCAGAAATACAGAGGATAGGAAATCAGTTTTTCCTGTGTATCACTTTTTTTATTGCTCTCATTATATGCAAGGAAATACAATCTCTCTCGCTGATGGTTTGTGTTGTAGACTAGTACATACTCATAATTTAAAGCTTTCTGCACACCTACAGCTCATCTTTGGTGTAGCTACAGAGAAAGTATGTGTCGCTTCAAACAGCATCATACAGGCATTAACCAGCCCTCCTACAGACAGCTTACATTTGAACAGTTTCTTAAATGAATGATGTATTGTTGTGGTTTTATCACATCTTTTAACTTATCTTTCTTTTTACTGACATTTACCATTTTATGAGCCTGAAATACAGTTGTAATTAACCTACTCTTATGGTTGTGTAATGATTTTAACATCATCAATCATCTGTTCCAGGTCCTCACTGACACTATATGGTATTTGCTTTCTTTGGCTGGTTTGAACAACGTTTGGCTGCACAGAAAGACTTAGTAAAGATGGAGCCACCCGAGTGTCAGTGGAATATACTGCAGTGCTTTGAGTACTGCAGTGATTTAGTACTGCACTTTCACAAAGTTGGAAGACTTGCGAGACACAGATTAAAACATCCCAAGAGTAAATTCCCTTAATTGCAACCGCATTTCGTCACTTGAGTATTTTCCATGATGCAGATCAAAAGGAAAAATAATTATGAAGAGAAAAATCTTTCTAATGAATGAAGAAAGTTGTTCTTTTGATAATCAGACCTACAACTAACAAATATCTTTAACAGGGGAAACAGAAAACCAACACAGTCTCAAACTTTGGAGAAAGAGACTGGAGTTCTGTTATCTGTCTGTCCACTCCAGTGTAACGCTGCAGTGAGGCGGTTCCAGAGCGGGCCGATCAGCCGCAGCCATCACTTACACATTTCCAATAAAGGGATGTGTCAGTGCGGTAAAAGACTTCAGTGAACTTTGCTCTGCTGTTTCCTCAGGGATCCCTCCTCCTTCGGTCCTCAGAGCAGGAATAAGAGCATTGGAAACAGCCGTCATGATGACTGATTGGAACAATTTCCCGATCAAATAAGGGAATTGGGATGTTCCCTAAAAGTCTTCATCCATGCTAGCTGCTAAAATTAGCATCATAACATGCCGACAATCACAATTCTAACACTACTGATATTTAGCAGGTAATGCTAACCATTGTCACAGCTTAGTTTAGTGCATTAGCGTCACAGATGTTCTATCTTATATGTATGTGTATATATATTCATATAGTATGTAGTCTTAGCTAATGTTAACAAAACTCTAGCTAACAAGCTGGCTTTAGTAATCTAGGATTATTTAACATTAGTTAACTTAAGATGTGACTATATATACACACACGTTGCTTTTATCTTTTCAATGTAGACAACCCTAGCACGTAGCATCAAAGCGAGCTACAGGAAAGAAGAAAGCTGACCGGGGTTCTCACCGAGGCTCGCTCAACTCTTATTGGAGCAGAGCAAAAAGGGGCGGGACTTATGAAGGGTCAATTGTGATAGTTAAACGAGTCGTTTGGTGGTGTTGGGATGCGAATTCGCTCCACAGCCAAGTTTGTAACGTAAACTGCTAAAAAAATGGAGTTTCCAAGCCAAGGCCAATCTCATCCAGAGCCACAAAGAACAACGGTGCTCACAGGATGAGTAGAAAGAGCCATAAAAAGTTACAAATCTGAGATTCAGGACGCTGAATGATTGGGCCTGATCACCCCCCCCCCAAATGTATGCCCACTGTTCCTGCAGCAAATTAACAGCATCATGGTTTTTTTTTTTCTGTTTCTCTTTGAATTTTTCCACTTGTGATTCCTCAAAGGATTTTTATCATTTTCCCTCCAACAGTACCACATCGCTTCCCCCCCTCATCCCCTTAAATCACATCTCTCTCTTCCCCTAAAGACATTGGTGGAAGTAAGTAACAGTCTGCATGTCTGCCGCTGCGATTAAACAAAAAGAAATTTGGCTTCACTCCTCCGCACGCCTCCGAAAGTTATCTGTTCGGATTTCAATAAGGAGAGAGGCAGAGAAATCCTCTGGGTAGCAGGTTCCCCGTCTCCAAATTTCTAAATTTAAACAACAATCCTAATCACTCGTCTCTCCCGCAGGCTTAAAACTCTGCACACTCACACATACACACACTTTAAAACCCGTCCTACGCCTGGAATTCCCCCCCCCCTTCCCGCCTGCTGTTTCATGTCCCCAAAATCCTCCCCTATCCCTCCCTGGCTCCTCTTGCCAGTGCTGCAGGAGCGAGCCAGTGCTTCTGCGTTTGATCTCTTTTCTGCAGCCAAGTTCTTTTTTTGGGAAGGGGGGAGAAGATTCTGCTGCTGCGAGGTTCAGAGATGAGCTTCTAGTCACCGAAGACTACAACAAAGAGTTTGTTTGTGTGTTTGTGTGTGTGTGTGTGTGTGTGTGCGTAAAAGGAGCTGCAGGGATACATAAAGAGAATTATTAGGATGGAGGAAGAGGTTACATAACTCCTCACAGCTGGAAGAAAGGAGTGCAGCAGCGGAGGAGGAGGGAGATTTTTATTTAATTCAGAGAGGAACAAGAGGGAATAATAAATTTGAAGGAGCGAGGCAGTTAGGAGGAGAGCTGCAGGGTGAACAGAGGATCAAAGATGTGGAAATAAAATTTAAAAATATTGTTCCTCAGTGAGTCACTTTGTAAAACCGGCCAAAAACCTGTACAGCAGTTCCTCAATGACGATATATCTTCATATTTAGTGAATTTTTTAAGAGCTTTCAGAGAAATCCTCCTATGCTAACAACTCTCCCTATAAACATAATTAATAAAAACATCTAGCTGAGTTTCTTTTGTCTTTTTATGTCATTTAATTTTAACCAAATGGAACAAAGTTACAGTGGAACATTTCAATCTCCACCACGTTTCTCTAACACGTTTCAAAATATTAAAAGGCTGCTACAGCGCCACCATCAAGAGAATTAACCCCTTTTTTGAGTTAACATTAGAAGTATTTAGATCTTTTATTTAAACTTAATACAAGGAGTTTTTAACTAAAAGACTCTCAATTTAATACTGATGCCTCTATATGACCTACACAAACAAACAAGACCATCGGATTCACTTAAAATCAATGAAACGAGGCGGTGGAAACACGCTTCTGTCACCATAAACAACACAAAATGAAATTTCCTTGTAGGGACTTTAAGTAAAGTAGCATAGCACACTATAAGAAGGCCGCTAAATGTACTCCAAGCTATAAGTTTAGTTTAAAAGGGGTCACTCATAGTGAAGAACTTGCAGAGCGTAATCAGTCCACAGCTTTTTAGCCTCTTTTTGCTCCTAGTTTTGGTTCTGTGGCATATTAACTGTTCATTGTCGGTTGGCATATTTCAGGCTATTTAAACTTTCCTGCAATACTACAGGACAGTTTCAGGTTGCTGCAATCTACTTGATACAACTGTTTCGCCATAATGGGGTCCAGCACTTCTTTTAGAGACCCCCACCAAAGCTTAGATTATAACTCAAACCCTGATTGTCAGTGATTCCAGCAAACAAGCTCTGATAAACCCACTGTAGACTCCCTGCTCAGACATCAGACAGACACAGTTCCAGACCAGCTTGTGAAGACAGTGGAACATCTAGCTGCTCAAGAGGTAGCTAATACAAGACAGAATAACAGGATATAATGGAAGAACGTATTTAATAGATATGGTGAGACTTTTTAAAGATGTGCTGGTCACCAATGTTACAAAACATAATTCAGTACCAATAAAACCTCTAATAAACATGTCGTTTTTGATGTTTTTACATTACTTAAGTTATTTATACCAAGCATAATAAAAAATTCTGGAAGTCTGGAAATTAAAAATACAGTTTATTAAGGTTTTGTATAATTACATTGAATAATTTATGTGATTAAGAAGCACACACTAATCATAGGTCAAAATATTACAACATTGGACTGAATTATAAACTAAATGAGGAGTCGTTTGGGATCTGAAAGAGCCGACTCTTCTTGCTGAGCTGAGCCAAATCCTCTGGATCGCTAAAAACAGGAGGAGGAGGAGACCAAACCAGAGCTAAAAAGTAGAGTGAATACTGGACTTTAATTTGTCAAGTGGACTCAAACCCCTCTCTGCTGCATGTGTGTGTAGGCTAATGTATGCTAAACATTAGCCTATAACAACTTTACATGGTGATAATATTTCAATGTTACACCTACAGCTGGATGCACTGACCCAAAGAAGCCAAAAGCATTATAATTATTAATGGAACATTATTACTGATACATTAATGTGTAAATTTAATGGTGTTGCTCGTGTAGGTGGAGCTAATTATAGCTACTTTACATACTGTTGGATAGTTTAATCTTTGATAATGCCTCATATTTTATAAGATTATTATATATTTTCTTTATACAATCTTAATCATCAACTAGTAGTTGTTAGATAACCGTAGTGAAATGAAAAGTGCAATATTTCCCTCAGGAACTGCTCTTGAAAAAAACTGCAGTTGGAAAAAAGCAAGAAAGAACAAAAGGTTAGCAGAGTTGAAAGAGGCAGTATTTACTGGTTAAGTTCGGACACTTTTAGAAAGACTTCGACAGAGAAAATCTTCTCTCCTCTCCTCTGTGACTGTTTAATGATGGCAATTTCACCCTGCAGCTATCAGGCTCTGACACTTATTCTCTTTATCACCCCGCTCTCTCTGTGACAGTGATTGCACCAGGCGGAGGTTCACAAATCCCTCAGTCCTCTTTTTCTCACGCTCCCTCCGTCTCTCACTTGCTTACTCCAGTAATTGACGACGATTGGCCCTTTCTGGAGAGCGGGAGCTGGCGTTTCGAGTCCGTGATGAGATTTTCTCACCTCGATCCTCACTAATACCTTACTCATTTTCTTTGTCTCCCCTCGCTGCCAGTGTCTAATGGTAGCGTGGCTGCTTTTCAGGTTTTCTTCTGAGAAAAACGCCACCCTCAACAGTTTCTGGATTTGCGGAGATTTACCGTTCGCTGGTTGATACGAGCACAGGGCTGCCTGTGCTGTCATCAAGAACCACCAAGGCCGCTCCTCCCTGGGCTGGAGGTTGTCAGGTTTCCAGCCTGATCCATGTGGGTCACGCAAGAAAAAGCATGAGCTTCCATTTCAGAATTACCCACGGATCAAGGGCTCCAAAAGATGGATTTACAGATAGATTTACAATTTGGGAGACATGATGAATGATATGTGAGCGAGGGAGACAAACGGATGCTGTTTTCCTAGGGTTTAAAGTTGAGGGGAATCATGCGATTTGAGGTCGAAAAGACGGCTTTGGTTCAGATACTTCTACTGCTTTTCCCATTTCTGAAATCAAGTCAAACAGATCATTTTTCTACAATTGGATCCAGTGGAAAAAATAGACAGAATTATGAACAAAAGAAGCAGCAGAGAACGAAGGAAGAAAGAGAAGAGGAGGGGGGAGATTGCTTTATAAGCCAAGTAATGAAATGACAAATGGGAAGAATAAATTGCAGAATGCAAGATGTATAACAAAATTTTCCACAGAGGAGAGCGAGGACGGGCTGGAGGTACGATTAGATAAGAGGGCGAGGGAGGAATGGAGGAGAAAAAGATAAATGAGGAAGAGATTGTTTTAGAGGTAATGGTGTAGTGAAGTGGGGTTTTATTAAATGAGAAAAGTAAGTGATGGAGGGAGTGTTCGGGGGGGAGGGGGGATGTGGGTGGATAACATGAACCGGAGCACTTCAAAGTGTGTGTGTATGGACGTTTGTGTGTCCTAAAACAGCGTATAATTGAATCTCTCATGGATGCAGTTGGCGGGCACGCTGCAGAAGATGCATGGGTCGGCTAATACAGGGTGACAAATGCACTAATACACATACACACACACACACACACACACACACATACATACGACAACTGCAAGCAGCAAACACGCATGTAATCAAAAAGACATCTTTTATATTTAAACGTCATATTTAGCACACGTGGGGAGCACCGTGCGTTATTTTAGATACTCTTTCTGTGTAAAGTGGAAATAAGCAAACAGAGCAGCCGAGGGGGAAGCGCCCCGCCGAGCGAGGAGAAACAGAAAATGGGTTAGAGAGAGAAACCCCAGCGGGACTGAATAATTAGCAGAGGAGAGGAGAGTGACTGAGAGACAACTGAACAGAAAGATGGAGGCAGTGAGTGAGAAGAGAGTCAGGGATGTGAGAAATGGGGTCAGACCGCACAAAATGGGAAATGATGGAGATGTGAAACAGAGGAAGTGAGGAAGAGAGAGTTGTATAAAGCCTGAGAGACACGTCCGTCACTCCGGCACACCAATTGAGATCCTGGGATTTATGGGGAACACAATTCTCCCAGGCGTGTGTGTGTGTGTTGGCAGCACTGAAGCATATTTTACGTTCTGAAACAAACCTTAGTAACACTAACACAAAGTCCAAAATAAAGACTCTGAGCTCTGATTTGGTGGCCTGTCTCACCACTTGTTGAACCACTTGCATGGTTTCCATTTCCAGGTCTTTCACTCTGTTTTGTTAAACTTCAGACTGAGTAACCACTGCAGCTTAAAGGCTGATGCAGATATATTTCTATGATAGCGAGATTTAATAGCATGTTGGCATGGTAACATCAGCTAATTAGCACTAAACAAAATGTACATTTGAGGCTGATGGGAATGTTATTAGATGTGTAGGAATAAAGTAATTTAAAATTTGGCCCAAAGATGGTGCTAGACTAAAAGTCAGGCGATCACTAAAGATCTAAATTTCTGACGACCATAAATGTCTGAACAAAATTCCATGGTAATCAATCTAATGGTCGTTTTGATATTTCACACTGAACCCAAGTGGCAGACCGACCATCCATCAGTTTCATTCCTACAGCCATGCATTGGCTAAAACGTCCATGCTTCCACTGGTTTGAACAATTTTAGAATTGCCGGTAAAAATGGTTCTTAAAGCCCCCACAAGGAAATGCCCTTTTGTGATGATTCTGGTGGTCCCTGTGGAGAAAATCACATGTTTCTATCACCTTGTTTCATTGATTTCAAGGGGAATCTGTCCCAGTAGCAATAATTATGAATAATTATTTAGAAATAACCAATCTTCTCGCTGATGGTTTTGTTTGTTTATTAGTTCTATAGAGGCATCAGTTTTACATTGAGACTGTTTCATAACCAGCTATAAACACCTTTTAATAGGTTTACTTCAATCACAATATGACTGGATCGTGTGATAACGATTGACCTCAGTAATGTGGCTGTGGACTGAAATATTTATGTAAATGAGGCACCTCTTTGTGAGGAATAAATCAGTCCCTCAAATGTGTGTCCACCTCCACACAGCTGCTATAACCATTGCCTGCAAACACAGTTTCTGCTCCTTTATTAGATTTTTTTCTTTAAACAGGGAGCAGAGTTTCAGATAAAAAGCTCAAACTGGGGCATTAACAGTTGTTCTGGCTCCAGCCGGCTGTGGCACACTGCCCTCCCAATAAACCAGGAGAAAAGTGCATTTCATTTTGAGGTAAGTGTTTTTTCAGACCTGGCCAAGCTCTTTCCTCTCAGCCCTGATGGTAAAAATGTCCTTTCCAATGATTTGTCTTGGGTGACAGAGAAGAGAACAAATCCAAACTTTTGTTCCCACTTCTATTTTCCTTCAGAATTCAGGACCTCAAATGGGCCGGGGAAAGTCTTGGAGAGACTCAGAAACTTCCTGATTAGAGTGAAAAGGACCAATCGTCAGCATTTCGAGCACAGTCGCTCTTCCAACTGATGCGGAACCTTCCAAAACTTCCCATGAGCCGGTTAGACAGGCTCCAGAATGAATTAAAGAAACACAAGGAGAAAGGGAAAGAGACAGCCAGCATGTATCGTAAGGAGCTGGTGAGTCGGCGGGGCAGCACTTCAGGACAAAAGGAAGGAAGGAAAGTTGCTGTGCTGACGGGTGCTAACCTGCGAACTAGTTCCTACAATCCGGTTTGAGTGTTGTAGGAAATGTTTCAATACTAATGCTGATGTTACAGTATTGATTCCAAAACAATACTAGAAATAATGTTTTTCTACATTTTAGTAAATTACGGGTTAAGTAAAAGGACTATGGACTTTTGAATCAAGGATCACATGGAAAGAATTGGGAATGCCAAAAAAACTAGGATAAAATTGAATGTTGTAGCTGTTGGAAACTGTTACACATCTGATAAAAGATCAATCAAATATAATGAGATGCTGCTGCTGGATACCAACTGAGATAACTGATCTACATGAACTCACATTAGAGGAACAGGCTCATGGGTGTTCTTAAAACAGAACAATGTTTTTTTATTCCATTGTATTAACTCATCACACATGCTTTAATCTCCACACAGTCTGCAGCCAATGTGAGAAAAAGAGTGAGAAAGTCATCCAATATTAATTTCAACCACTTTTAACCAAAGTGCTGTGCTGCCAGAGGGAGAACGAGGGGATGACAGGGAGGAAATATAAAAGGGGACTAAATGACATTGAGACAACAAGAGAGAGAATGATTGGACGGAGTTCTGGAACAGAAGAGCAGAGACACGAGAGATATAAGCCACACATCAATGGACCAAACTAAACGAGCCAAGTGTGTGTGTGTGTGTGTGTGTGTGTGTGTGTGTGTGTGTGTGTGTGTGTGTGTGTGTGTGTGTGTGTGTGTGTCAGAGGTGGCCTGGTGAGTTCAGAGGCAGTTCAGCTCTACCCTGGAGTGCAGCAGCAGCGGTGACTTTAAACCAAGTTAATAGGAAAAAAAAAGCTAAAATGAGATCAGTACAAAGTCCGCAGAGACGCAGAGGGAACGAGTGGAGGAGAGAGAAGAAGAATGACTAATGACTGGACGGTAGATATGGCTCTCATCTGTGAGCTCTTCCATTAATAAAACATTAGACTGTCTCTACAGAATGTTACTTTTCATCTATAATTATCTCCCGGCTCTCCACCCTCCATACATCCACAGATGGAGGCCCCCCATTTGAGGAGCGATTACGGTCCCTTTACTCTGCAAAAAACCTCTCTTTTCTCTCCACAGATTTGAATGGGCGTTCAGGTGTTTGAGATGAGAGGGAGAGAGGGCATAATAATCGCAGTGATCGCAGATAGAAAGGTTGGACGGGGAGATTGCGTACACAATTTAGGAACGGAAAGAGTGGGAAAAGGAGGGAGGGAGATTATTTCTGCCTGCGCCGCAAACAAAGGCGGTAAATACAGGTGTTATGTTATCTGCTGCTTTAATCGCTGCCCTGTCTCACGCTTCACAGGCGGACCGAGAGTTGATTGCAGAGCTGAAAGGTGAAGTTTTTCCCACAGATTATAGAACAGGACGAGGCTGCAGCCACGCAAGCAATTTTTGCACGGCTGCAATGTGAAGTGTGAAGACAGTGTGAACGATTTGTTTTTTATCCTTAGCAGTGGTAAAATAAATGTAAAAATTGTGTTATTTAGCCCAAGTATTGGACTTTTATTTGGATTTTGACCTGATGATGGCGTTAGATGAAAATGCAGGTGATCACCGGTCAAAATGTACAAATTTAGTGCCAATACATCACATGATAGTTGAGATATTTGACAGAACGTCATGACTATCTTTGTCAAGGTATTTGAACGCCTCTTCAGATGTAGAGTCTTTGTCCTGACTGATGCCAATATCAATAGTTGATGTTAACAAAGTACATATTAGACTTGTGTGTGTGCACCGTGCTTGACTGCTCATGTGAATCCATGCCAAGCACTGGCTGCATTGATATAATAGTAGATCACATGGTGTTTAAAATCCTGCTCTTTTGGACCACTGCGACTCCACAAGACCATTTTATACTGAATATACCTTTAATGCTTTAACATATAAGGCCATTTTAACATTGTGTAGAATGTGCTGTGTGAAGATGAGCATGTTAAACAGTCACGCTGCTTGCTGATTAATGCATTAATTAGTAGAATTAATGAGTATGTTAGCATAACTGGTTATGTTTAATAAATGATGGTGATTCTGTGAGAACATCAGTCAGCTGCCGAGTGCGAAAACAGCTGAGAGTCATTATACTTCCATAAAGATGTCATGTTTCTGCGTGACAGAGGAAATAATGACACCAAAACAAACACAGTCCCACACACACCTGCCTCCATGCATGCATCAGTGTGAAGCCACGCTGCGTGACCGGGAAAAGGCAAGGTAAGGAATTCCAAAAGGCCAACAGGAAAATGTTTCCACTCAAATCCCAAACGCGGCAGGAACGAGGAACCACGGACAGAGAGTGAGAGAGTGAGAGAGCAAAACGCTGACCTTCAAAACCCAACCAATGTGTAAAGAATGTGTAACACAGCACCTTCTGCCATAAGGCATCAGTTGTGTTTATGCTGTGGTTTTCATAAAACACACACTGATTCGACTGACACTGCAGAGCTGTCACAGTGAGGCTCCCGCGACCTGCAGCATCTACGGCTCACGTTCCCATGCTTCCCATCCCACAGGTCACATCTACAACTCATACTTATAATGAGAGAGATGAAAAAGATAAATAAACAGCGGGGAAACAAAGACAACATGAACCTCTGAAAAAAGCCCCTGTGAAAAGCCTCTAGTGAGATGATGGGTGATGAAAATAGATTTCTTAATATAGTAAAATGACACATTTTGTTTATATATTAAAATAAAGAAAACAATAAAGAAAACAGACAGTGCTGCTGTAACTGTGAGCAAACAGTACACTATAAACCTGACAGCAACTTAAGCCTCCAAAAAAATCACTCATTCATTAAAGCTTATATAATAATAGAGGTGTAAGCATTATAATGCTGTATACAGCTTTTTGTTATTTCAGTTTATTAATCATCATAAGCTGAAGTATGCATCCAAATACTTCTTAATGATCACCCAAAATGTAAAGATTTTATGTTAGTCACATAAAAACCACAGAAAGTTAATTGGCTACCATTTCATGATTCCTTAATTATAATAAGTTATTTTTATTGTACGTCAGCTGTTTTGTCAGGTAATGTAATAATTTGCTTTAGTGGAAGAAAACTGAGTAAATTTAACATAAATTGCAACATTTGTATAAAGAAGATGCATTTAAGTTACTTTATTCAAATAATTAACGTGAACACATTTTAAATACGTTTGGAGAAATGCTGCATATGAGTAACTTCAATGAACTCAATGGAATTGGTACAATTATTTAATTTATGTAACCTTAATAAAACTAACTCATGGGGTTTCACAGTGTATGTGTTACATTATAAACTAACCCATCTGCTCAAAAGTGACACCAAACTGCCCACCATCATATATCACCGCTGTGGCTTTGTCTGTCAGATCACAGGGGCAGAGATCAGC